ATAAAGAGAGTGAAGGGAGCTGCCCTGCTCCTTCCTCTGTGTGAGGACACAGTATTCATCCCTCTGCTATGTAAGGACACAGCAAAAAACAGAGGACAGGCCCTTACCAGACATCAAATATGCTGGTGTCTTAATCTTAGACTTCCCAGCTTCCAGAACTGTGAACAGTAAATATCTACTGTTGTTGTTGGCCAGGCACAGTGGCTTACGCCTGTAATCCCAGCACTTTGGGAGGCCGAGGCGGGTGGATCACCTGATGTCAGGAGATGGAGACCATCCTGGCTAACACGGTGAAACCCCGTCTCTACTAAAAATACAAAAAAAAATTAGCCGAGCGTGGTGGCGGGTGCCTGTAGTCCCAGCTACTCGGGAGGCTGAGGCAGGAGAATGGTGTGAACCCAGGAGGCGGAGGTTACGGTGAGCCGAGATGGGGCCACTGCACTCCAGCCTGGGCAACAGAGTGACACTCCGTCTCAAATAAATAAATAAATATCTACTGTTGTTCTTTAAAAAAAAAAAAGTTTCCAGTTCTGTAAGCCACAATTTTTTTTAAGAGACAGGGTCTTGCTATATTGTCCAGGCTGGTCCTGGACTCAAACCATCCTCCCACCTTGGCCTTCCAAAGGGCTGGGATTATAGGCTTGAGCCATTGTGCCCAACCCATAAAATTTGAGTATCACCTGCCCTATTTTACAGGGGTCTGAAACCAGAAGGTCAATATGCATTTTCAGCTGTGAAATATAGAAAGGTCTATACAAATATATTTTAAACATGCTATCACTAAAACCTCAGAATCTTTTCATAAGCCACTGTATACTAATTTCCTATTCCTTTAAGAAAAATGCCTGAATCTGAACAGAGCTCCCTAAAGCATGCCTATGATTAAATGACAATTATACTTTATAGCCATCTCTTCTTTAGCTTATGCTTAATATGAAGTATTGCTAGTATTTTCACATTGAGTAAAAGGCTGTTTAATTAACTATAAGCAGAAAAATCTGAAGCACATAACCAGTAGTCACATGTAGAATATAGTTAGCCTCTTTCTGAACCATCCTACAACATAAATTAAGAAAGTGTTTTATAAAATGAACACCAGGCCAGGCGCGGTAGCTCAAGCCTGTAATCCCAGCACTTTGGGAGGCCAAGACGGGTGGATCACGAGGTCAGGCGATCGTGACCATCCTGGCTAACATGGTGAAATCCCGTCTCTACTAAAATAAATACAAAAAACTAGCTGGGCGAGGTGGCGGGCGCCTGTAGTCCCAGCTACTCGGGAGGCTGAGGCAGGAGAATGGCGTAAACCCGGGAGGCAGAGCTTGCAGTGAGCTGAGATCCGGCCACTGCACTCCAGCCCGGGCAACAGAGCGAGACTCCGTCTCAAAAAAATAAATAAATAAAATAAAATGAACACCTGAGTGTAATTAAATTACACAAAAAATAAGCCAGAAAGCATATAATAAGGAATGCCAAATTCTATAACCCAGTTACAAATATTTCATTTTAGTTGGGGCATCATTTCACTTGTAGCTTTGGATTCTTTCATTCTCTTATTTATAGGTGGTACCAGAAAATCTCTCATTAACATATATATACAAATTTTTTTTCGTGCTAAAGGGCCAAAAAGAGGTAATCTAAAAATAATAAACAAAGATTCAGATATAACCAATTTTCAAAATTAAGCAAAGCTATTCCTTCTCACTTTTCCAAAAACATATGTCAACAAGAAAGAAAATATTCAATTTTCCAATATTTTATCCTACTTATTTAAAAGTTCCCATTCTCTATATGCACATTGTTTTTAATAAATAATTAAACAGTCAAAAAATAAGCTTCTAAAAATGACTAAAGAGGACCAAAATTAGCTCCTAAGAAAGATTTTTTTTAATTATAAAATTGGGGCTTGGTTGAACATGCCTTATAGATAAAGTTGAAATTTTTGGCCATGTTCCTAACGTTTTGAGCATTTAAGGACTTGGAAGCATTTGCCCACCTCTAGGACTTTACTGTTCAAAATTCTATGCTTCTTTTGTTGCAGTTTCCCAAATTCCACAAATCTGTTCCACTCCTCTGTTTGGGTATTGAACGTTTACTGTAAACCAATGGTTGTCTGTGTCTACTACAGGAAGCAGTCTAGGTTGAAGTTCAAAGGCTTTTTATTCTAGTAAAGGCCACCTCTGCTTTACATTATGAATTCTGTAAGGTCAGTTTACTTTACATGAGGATTAGCCATGTGTCTCTTATCTTCAAGGTGATTTGACTAATTTCATAAAATATCTTGTATATAGCATGTACTTAAAAATTTGAATGTTTTATATTAGAAAAATTAAATTCATGGTTCAGTTTTTTGACAAAAACATGAACCACAATATTAAGTAAACAAATTATATCACAAATACAGCAATGCTCTTGGCATTCTTCATGTTACTTTAAACACAGTGGCAATATAAGTCTACATAATGCTTTTGAAAACAATGTCCCAAGAAAGGAGACACGCATAATGTATGGATAACAACTGCACCTTAGAAACTTTAGAAGCCTTCATTCCAATATTCCAAACATTTAAAGGCTCAAATCCTAACTCTATAAAATTCTTAGCTCCATGATTTAAAGCAAGCTGTAAATTATTAAAACAGAAGTACTTCTAAGCACAAATCACGTTATTTTATTGGTAAAAATTAGCAATAAATAATTTTATTTTGAGAAAAGGTCAAGATTAATACTCCCCAACTTTTAAAAACCTAACATGAATAATATTCTAATGAGGAAGACATCTGAAACTGGATTTATAAATAATGAAATCCTAGTCTTTTTTTAGTACACTCACATCCTTACTTGAGTTGAGTATCTCAGTCCAAAGCTCTAGCGACGACTCTGGATTATCACAATTACCTCTTAACTAGGCTCCTTGCCTACAGTCTCAACCCTCTCCACCAGCCACTAAAGTGACTTTGAAACACAAACTCGATCAAGACACTCTACACAGAACATTTTTCAGCAGCACTCTTATTTTCCATAACAACAACAAAAAAGTCAAAGTCCATTTGTATTGCATGCATAGTACCTCATGATCTGGCCCCTATTTGATTCTCTAGACTCAATTCTCCTTTACTACCTCTGATTGCCTACCTGTATCCCCAAAATGCAAACACTTTTCCTCCTTTAAGATTTAATTCTCCAGACACTATTTCTCATCATCAACCACCATCCATTCTTCCCTTCTCTCCTCAACACATTTTTTCTTTTTTGAGACAGGGTCTCACTCTGTCACCCAGGCTGGAGTGCAGTGGCACAATTACAGCACACTGCAGCCTCAACTGTCTGGGCCAAATCAATTCTCCCACCTCTGCCTCCCAAGTAACTGGGACTACAGGTGCACACCACCATTTTTAATTTTTTGTAGAAACGGGGTTTCACCATGTTGCCCAGACTGGTCTCAAACTCTTAGGCTCAAGTAATCTGCCCGCCTCAGCCTCCCAAAGTGCTGGGACTACAGATGTGACCACTGCACCTGGCCAACACTTATCTTAAACTGGCACTCCTTTTGTGGCTAGATGCCTCTCCCCATTTTTCTTGCATTTTACCCCAGCCAATCTGCCTTACTGAACAACTATTAGACCTTCAAGATAGCTTAAGATATAGAAAAAACTTTATCTGAAAAGTGGGCCTGGGAAATGGTATGAAAGTGGGAATGGTGGTGGGTAGAAAAATGAAAGATTTGTACTTTCAGTAGTATTTTTCCACAAATTTGAATTTTTCCATTTTATGATTTTTAAATCTAGTTTCTAAAAATCTAAACACTTCATCTTCTCTAAGATGTCTTCTAAGGTCCTACAGTAAGGCCAGGAATGAAAATAAGTTTCAACTCACATGCCTATTGTATAATAAAGAATGTATATCTGGTCTTTGTACCAGTTTTCTGGCACATAGCTTCAAAAACCCTTGAGATTTTCTGAGTGATATTCAGAATGTCTTCTGTTATTTATAATAAGCCCTATGGATTACATCTGAGTCTATGCAAATGAAGTGACTCAAGGTAAGCCCTTAGTTTCAACAGACGGTTGCTCCTATCAGAAAGATCAAGCATTGGCCAGGTGTAGTGGCTCACACCTATAATCCCAGCACTTTGGGAGGCCAAGGCAGGTGGATCATGAGGTCAAGAGATCGAGATCATACTGGCCAACATGGTGAAACCATGTCTCTACTAAAAACACAAAAATTAGCCAGGCGTGGTGGTACATGCCTGTAGTCCCAGCTACTCAGGAGGCTGAGGCAGGAGAATTGCTTGAACCTAGGAGGTGGACATTATAGTGAGCCAAGATCGTGCCACTGCACAGCCTGGTGACACAGCAACACTCCATCTCAAAAAAAAAAAAAAAGAAAGACCAAGCATTAATTAGAGGGCTGGAATTTTCAGCCTCACCACTGCTTATACTCCTAGGAAGAGGGAGATTGAGCTCAATCACATAATCAATTATGTAATGAGACTCCAGTAAAACTCTGGACACCCAAAACTTGAACAGTTTCCTGATTAGTGAATACACTGATGTTCAGGAAGGGCAACACACCTTGACTCCATGGGGAGAGGGTGTGGAAGCTCTGCCTCCAGACCCTTCCACACCTTGTCCTATGTGTATTCATTACGATAAAGCCGTAATCATAAGTATAGTGCTTTCAGTGCTCTGAAAATTTGTTGTTATGGAAAACAACAAATTCAGGGTGTGAGAACCCTGAATTTATAGCCAGTTGGTCTGAAGTGTGGGTGATCCCCAAGACTTATAGTGGCTGATGTCTGAAGTGAAGGCAGTCTTACGGAGGACTGTGCCCTTAACTTGTGGGATCTGGTAGTTAGTGTCAGAAATGAAGTGTGTTGCAGGACACCAGTTGGTAGTGTCCTAGAAAAGCAGAGTTTTCTAGAAGCCAGGTCTAGCATCATCAAGAAAGACTACTGTCATCAATTAGCTATGTCTCTATGAGAATAGGGTTATTCATGAGTATCAAGAGGGTAACATTATTGCCATCCTTCTAGTATGTCATCAATGAAATCTTTGTGCCAAAAATGAAAAACTCATCCAAGGGTAACAAAATAGTGTTTCTACATACCTGGTAGGCAGCTTTTCAAAGTCAACGTCTAAAAATTGTTCATAGCTAGAAACAAAAGTGTCCAACCATAGCTTCAGGTAATCTGGATCTTTCTGAAATAACAAAATCATCATAATATTAAGTATGCCTATGAGAGGAAAAAAATGCTTCCACACCTATTAAGCAGACACCTAAAGAATCAATACTATGAAATCTCTAAGTGATATTCAGGAGTACATATGTGCTGTTTTAAAATGTATATTAAGTATATGGAACTCTCAAATGGCTTCTCATGTCACTCAAAGAGCTAAAATCTTAACAATGTCCTATAAAAGTTTAAACAATTTGCCCTCCCATATCCCTGTAACCTTGTCCATTGTTATCCTGTACTAACTGGCCTTCTGGCTGTTTCCTGGGACATGCCAGACATGCTCCCACCCTAAGGACTTTGCACTGGCTGTTTTCTCTACCCAGAACACTCTTCTCCCAGGTATCTGAATGGCTACTCCCTCATCTTCAAGTCTTTTTTTTTTTTTTTTTGGACAACTGAACATTTATTTGTGTGCCTTTCTTCTTAAGTGTATTTCAAGTCTTTTCAAAACAAGGCCCCCGGACTCTCCAGATTAAATTATGTCCCTGGGCTTGGTCCATTGCTGCAGGAGTCTTAGGGAGCCTTGTACAAACGCTTGAGTTACTCATTTACCAACATTAAACCCTAGGATAGAAAATGCAACAAAGCAGGACTCCTTCTTTCATGGCATGTGCTGATTTCTGACAAGGCGGCAGCCAATATAGAAAACACTGGAATTTTTCCTTAGAACTGGACTGTGATGAGAGGTGCTTGCCATGAACATAAGCTACGGTATTTTCTTTGACTCTTCGTTTCTAATTTTTGAAGATAAGGCAAGGAATAATCTTCTCTAAAGATACCTGATAATAATTCCCCCAAAAGCAAAAACACATGCTTCCACTGCACCGTGCTTTCAAATATTCTGGGTCTTGTTCAGCTGGCAGATGAGCCGACTGATGCATTCACCCTGATAGCCATGTGAGCTCATCTCCTTGAGGAAGCCCACTATATTTTTGGTATATAGTGGACGTATATAGCCAAGATCACACTATCGCACTTCAGCCTGAGCATGACGGGTCACCAAAAGGTGGAAAGGGCACAAGAACCATGAGATCTCCTAGAAATACTTCACTGGGAAGGCAATTTCATGAATGAGGTCTTCCAAGCAAATGACACCAAACTTCTCCAGGTGCTCCTCAATAACTGCGTTGTCTGTCAGAGGGATGGTCTTATTCTTTACCTTGGCTTGTCCATGTTTCAAAGTGAGTTCCCACAAAGACTTCAGATTTAGAAATCCCCAGGTCACATAAGTTTCCAATATAAGCAGCATTTTTAGGTTCTGGGGGTTGACTTAATTTACAAAACCACCACTAAAAATTTTCTTCAGGCAAAGTCTTACAATAGTTCTCTCCATCATTAAACTCATACCATTAATCCTTTTGATGTGCACAACAAAGGCCATGGAATGTTTATCTGGCAATTCCAAGGCATGAGGTCTTACTTCTAGTCATCTGAGATGCACCTTGTCACATTTCTGCCTTCAGGAATCATGTAGGAATGATTCCAGTCACTTAAATGTGAGCCTTTTTCCCTTCCTCTGCTCCTTCTTTGCCAAAAGGGCCTGCTTTGCCTGAGTGGCTTTGAGGGCTTGAAAAACCTTCCTCTTTTTCAGGAGATTTTCTGGACCCAAAGGGATTTTTCTTTGCTCTTGCTCTGCCATCTTCCTAGTGTTGCAGCTCCTGATCATGCACAACCCCACTCCAAGTCATTTTTTAAATGACATATTCTCATTGAGGCCTATTTTTACTTCTTCTTAAAACCAGAAACCTCACCACCCCCTTACTTTACCTTATCATGTTCCCTCCACCATGGTCCTTTATCAACTTTCATCATGCTCTATAATTTACTTATCAGTTTATTTTTTGTCACTTCCCCAGAATATATGATTCACAAGTGCAGAGATTTTCATTTTTTTGTTTACTGAACACCAGTACCTTAAATAGTGGCAGGTACTGAGACTGTGCTCAATAAATACTTGTTCCATGAATTAAGAGTAAGTGTAACATGCATAAATGAAATCAAATTGGAAATGGATCATTAACATAAACATAAAAACTGAAACCAAAATTTTCTAGAAGAAAATACACCAGGCACAGTGGCTCACGCCAGTAATCCCAGAACTTTGGGAACCCAAGGCATGTGGATCACCTGAGGTCAGTGGTTTGAGACCAGCCTGGCCAACATGGTGAAACCCTATCTCTACTAAAAATACAAAAATTAGCCAGGTGTAGTGGTGCAAGTCTGTAGTCCCAGCTACTCAGGGTGCTGAGGCATGAGAATTGCTTGAACCCAGGAGGCGGAGGTTGCAGTGAACCGAGATCGCGCTACTGCACTCCAGCCTGAGCAACAAAGTGAGACTGTCTCAAAAGAAAAGAAAAGAAAAGAAAAGAAAAGAAAAGAAAAGAAAAGAAAAGAAAAGAAAAAAGAAAAGAAAAGACAAGACAAGACTGAATAACTTTGCTACCTGGGGATAAACAGAGGTTTCTTAGCTAGGGCAAAAAAACCATAAACTGAAAAAGAAAAAAAAGATAACTGGTATTAATCAAAACTTAAAACTTCTACTCATCAAAAGACACTATTAAGAAAATGGAGGCTGGGTGCAGTGGCTCACAACTGTAACCCCCACACTTTGGGAAGCTGATGTGAGAGAATCGCTTGAGCCCAGGAATTCGAAACCAGCCTAAGCAACATAGTGAGATTCCATCTCTTCAAAAAATAGAAAAAAATTAGCTAGGTGTGGTTGCGCATGCCAGTAGTCCCTATTACTCAGGAGGGTGAGGTTGGAGGAATTCCTGAGCACAGGAAGTCAAGACTGCAGTGCGCTGTGATCATGCCACTGAGTGACATGTGCCATTAGTAAACAAAAAGATTAAAATCTCTGCACTTGTGAAACTTATATTCTGGTGACAGAGTGAGACTCTAAAGAAAAAAGAAAATGGAAAGACAAACCATACTGGCTGAAAATATTCTCAGGGACTTGTATGAAAAACATAAAGATCTCCTACAAATCAATAACAAAAAGACAATTCGATTTAAAAATGGGCAAAAAGCTTGGACACTTCACAAAAGGGAATACACAAACGGCCAAACGGCATCCTAATCTGTGACCAATATCATTAGTTATCCAGATAAATGCAAATTAAAACCAAGTAAGATACTATTATATACCCACCAGAATGGCTAAAATTAGAAAAACTATATCACGTTAGTGAAGACGTGCAGTAACGGTAACTCTCATACATAACTGGTGGCAGTATGAAACAGGATCACCACTTAGAAAAGTTTAAGTTAAATATACACATATCAAACAGCCCAGCCATTCCTCTCCCAGATAAATGAATACAAATATCCACAAAAACACTTGCACAAAAATGTTTATGGAAACTTTGTTTATAACAGCCCAAAGCCGAAAACAAAAGTTCTATCAAGTTAACAGATAAACAAATTGTTATATATTCATACAACGGAATATTATTCCAGGAATAAAAATGAACTATTGATACTCACAATGACAAAAAATTTTTTCAAAAATCTATTGAGCAAAAGATGTTAGGCATCAAAGCACGTATCACTTATTTATTTATTCATGTATTTATTATTTATTTATTTATGAGACAGGTTCTCACTCTGTTACCCCGGCCAGAGTGCAATGGCATAATCACGGTTCACTACGGCCTCAAACTCCTGAGCCCAAGGAATCCTCCTGCCTCAGCACTCCAAGTAGCTGGGATTATAGCTATCATGTCTGGTTAATTTTTGTATTTTTTGTGGAGACTGGGTCTTGTTACAGTCTCAAACTCCTGGCCTCAAGTGATCCTCCCACTTTGGCTTCCCAAAGTGCTGAGATTATAGGTATGAGCCACCTCGACCAGCCTGATATCACTTATATGTAGTTCTAGAGCAGTCTATGGTGACAGAAATTAGACAACATGGCTGCCTCTGGGAGGACTGACTGCAAAGCGGCACAGAGGGAACTTTCTTGGGTGATAGAAATTTTACATTTCTTGACTAAAGTAGTGTTTATACAAATGTTTGCATGTATCAAAATTCATCACATTTGACACTTAAAATCTGTGCATTTTTATGCTTTGTGACATTTCAAGAAAGCTGAGTTGAAAAAAAAAAACTATGATCCCGAGGGTGGTTCCAAGATGGCTGAATAGGAACAGCTCCAGGCTACAGCTCCCAGCATGAGCGATGCAGAAGTCAGGTGATTTCTGCATTTCCAACTGAGGTACTGGGTTCATCTCACTGGGGCTTGTTGGACAGTGGGGGCAAGACAGTGGGTGCAGCCCACCGAGCGTGAGCTGAAGCATCGCGTCACTTGGGAAGCGCAAGGGGTCAGGGAATTCCCTTTCCTAGCCAAGGGAAGCAGTGACACAGGGCACCTGGAAAATAGGATCACTCCCACCCTAATACTGCACTTTTCCAACAGTCTTAGCAAACGACACACCAGGAGATTATATCCCGCATCGGGCTCAGAGGGTTCCTTGCCCACGGAGCCCTGCTCATTGCTAGCACAGCAGTCAGAGATCTAACTGCAGCAGCAGCAAGCCTGGGGGAGGGGTGCCCGCCATTGCTGAGGCTTAAGAAGGTAAACAAAGCCTCTGGGAAGCACGAACTGGGTGGAGCCCACCGCAGCTCAAGGAGGCCTACCTGCCTCTGTAGATTCCACCTCTAGGGGTAGGGCATAGCTGAACAAAAGGCAGCAGAAACCTCTGCAGACTTAAATGTCCCTATCTGACAGCTTTGAAGAGAGTAGTGGTTCTCCCAGCACAGAGTTTGAGATCTGAGAACGGATGGACTGCCTCCTCAAGTTGGTCCCTGACCCCCAAGTAGCCTAATTGGGAGGCATCCCCCAGTAGGGGCAGACTGACACCTCACATGTCCAAGTACCCCTCTGAGAGGAAGCTTCCAGAGGAACGATCAGGCAGCAACATTTGCTGTTCAGCAATATTCACTGTTCTGCAGCCTCTGCTGCTGATACCCAGGTGAACAGGT